TACAAATGCTTTCTCCCATTCTCTGAATTTCCTTTTACTCCGTTGATATTGTCTTTTTTTTTTTTTTTTTTTTTGCCAGAGGGGCCATGCATTCTTTCCATTTATTTCTGTGTTCTTTCATTTGTTTCAGCAGTGCTTTGTAGTTTTCATTGCACAAGTATTTCACCTTCTTGGTTAAATTATTTCCTAAGTATTTCATTGATACTATTATGAATAGAATTGTTTCTGTAATTTTCTCCTCAGATTGTTCACTCTTAGTACATGGAAATGCAACAGGTATTTGTGTTGACTTTGTATCCTGCTACCTTGCTGAATGCCTGTATTAGTTTTGGCAGGTTTGTTTGTGTGTGTGGAATCGCCAGGGTTTTCTACATATGAGATCATATTATCTATGGACAGGATAATTGTACTTATTCCTTTCTAATATAGATACCTGTTATTTCTTTTTCTTGTCTAATTGCTTTGGCTAGAATTTCTAATATAGTGTCAAACAGAAGTGGCAAAAGTGGGCATCTTTGTTTTGTCCCTGATCTTAGAAGAAAAGCTTACAGTCATTCACCATTGAACATGATGGGTTTACTGTGGGTTTTCCATATGGCGTCCACGTTGAGATACTTTTCTTCTATTTCTAGTTTATTGTTTTTATCATAAAAAGAGAGCATTTTGCCAAATGCTTTTTCTGTATCAATTGACATAATGTCTATTTTCTCCTTTTATTCTATTAATGTGGTATATTACATTGATTTAAAAGAATTATTTATTTAATTTTATTTGTCATTATTATTGTTTTATAATTTGCTACAGGGTGTATGGGCACATCAGAAAGTGAAAAAGCAAGCCTCCACATCTGGGACTCAAAAAACAGTTGGCCATGTGGGAGTCCCCCCCATGCCACCTGCTGGCCCCACATTGATTTTTCTTTCTCTTTCTTTAAAATTGCTAGAAGGTAGGGACTAGCAGTTAGAGTAATGGCTATGTCAGTGGACTCCCATGTAGTCGACCGCGGTTCAAATCCCAGACCTGGTGGCTTAAACTCTCACCAGGCACGTGTGCGTGCATGCCCAAGATACCGAGAGGAGAATGGAGGAGAAGGGATTGCGGCATGGCCATCCCCATTGGGGGGTGATTTCTCGCTTTCTGTCTCTCTGTCTCTCTCTGTCTGTCTGGCGAGTTCACGTACCCTATAGCAAAAAAATACTCTCCAAAAAACAAAAAATTGCTAGAAGGTAGGAGAGAGAAGGGGGGAGGAAGTGAGAAAGCACGCTCTCATAGGAGGTGGTCACTCTGCAATCCCTTCTCCTCCATTTCTCCTTTCAGGATTTTGGGCATGTGTGCACATGTGCCCAGCATGTTTATCAAGTCACTGGGTCCAGGACTTGATCTGCATAGTTAGCCAGGTGGGATCCAGTTGCCTTAACCGTCATGCTACCAGTGGGCCCTTGACTGGTTTTTATATACTGAACCTCCTTATATTCCAGGAATAAATCTCACTTGGTCATGGTGTATAATTCTTCTAATATGCCACTGAATGCAGTTTGCTAGTATTTTGTTGAGAATTTTTGCATTAATATTCATAAGACATACTGTTCTATAGTTTTCTTTTCTTGTAGTGTCCTTGTCTGGCTTTGGTATCCAAGTAATGCTAGTCTCATTGTATGAGTGGAAGTGTCTCCTCCTCTTTAATTTTTTGGAACAACTTGAGGTTTGGCTTTAGCTCTTCCTTAAGTAATTGGTTGACTTCACCAGTGAAGCCATTTTGTGGAAAAACTGTATCTAATTCCAGAAAACCTCAAGAATATTGGGCCAAGAAGCACAAATTATAGAGCTGAAAGAGACTTGAACCTCTTTTTTTTTTTCTTTTTTTTTTGCTCAACCATTTTTTTAAAAATAATTCCACTTACATAAGCAACTTGCCCACAATCGTACAAACATTTAGTAGGAAAACTGCAGCTACATCTCAGGCCTCCTGACCCTTAGTTATAATGAGGAAACCACGACAGACTTCACGTAAAGAAAAATGTATTTATTTATATCACAAAATTTTACAGAAGATATTGCATACTTACTCTGTCTTTTTTCCCCTTTTCTGTCAGTTCCTGTGGTTTTGTTCTCCACCCGCTATTCACCCAGACTCGTGGGCAGGTGTGTGCATTACCAGCTCACCAGGAGCTTCTCAGGACAGCGATGCAGAGACTAAGAACTAGGCGAGGGGAAGTAAGGGGGGTCAAACACGGGACTGTGGAGGTTCCTCTTCTTCCTGCCTCCTCCCCCAGATGCCACCCTCAGTAAAGAGCAGGCATGGGGCCAGGTGGTAGCACAACAGTAATGCAGCTGGACCTGCATAGGGAGGTCCTAGGTTCGTGTCCCGGGCTCTCCATGTGCCTGTCAGGTACTGCCTACGTTCCTGTGATCTGGGTTGGTTGAGACTGAGGGTGGATCGTGGTGTCACGATCCTGGTGGGGTATCTGGCTCTGTCTCTATCTCTCCGTTTATCTTTCATAGAGGAAGCAAATCAACTTTTAAAAAAATAGAAGCAGGTGTAGCATGACTGGTGGTGATCCAGCCAGCTTCCTCTGCTTCTCCAAGGCCTCCCCAGGGGGCGGACATTGAGAGCTCAGCAGTTAATGCAGCCCAGAAGGAGCGCTGTCAAGAGAAGGCAGCATTTTAGATGTAACAGAAACTGTTATAACAGAAATAAAGGGTCAGTCCAGAGATTTGCTGCTTTGTAGCCACTGGCCGTATCCTGGACCATGGACAAACATAAAACTACATTTTATATGGGCACTGGGAGAAGAGAGGACTGCTCTGAGGTTAAGACTCAAGGATAGGGAGCCAGGTGGGTCATCGCAGGTGGTGTTCTCGTCGGATGCATTCCCTCTCACTGTTGTCTCTGAGCTGATGAACTCAGGTTCAGGGAAAGCCTGAATCCTTAAAAAATAAAAATGTGTAAGTAATCGACTCTAAGATCAAGCAACTTGTTCAGCAGCCGAAAAACTGCACACCCAGGACGAGCCATGCCCCGGCTTTAACATGCTGCCCCATCAGTGGGGGGTCACAGTGAAAGCAGCTTCTATGCAGGAGGAACGGGTGGCACTCAGGAGCCTGCGTTTCTTCTTCTGTTTCTTCTTTACTAAGCCAGAAAGCACCTGCCCTTGCCAGAGAGAGAGAAAGGAAAGCACTCCCGTGGGGGCATGGTCGCGCCACAGTCCCCTCCCTTCCATTTCTGCATCCTGTTGGGACTCTCTGGACTTGCACACACACCTGGCATCTTTCAAGTTGCTGAGACTGGGATTCAAACACGCTGTCGGCCATGGGGATCTGGCTCCCTTAACCACAAGGTCACGGGGCCGGTCCAAGATTCTGCATTTTTAACAAGCCTCCAGGAGGTGCTGATGATGCAGCTTTTAGTGGCACTGTGAGGGGCAGACTATATGGGGGAGGGGTTTCTTCAGAAAGTTCATGGAAAATGTGTATTGAAAAAAATTTATGGGGACCAGCAGTTAGTGTAATGGCTATGTCGCTGGACTCCCATGTAGTTGACCACTGTTCAAGTCCCGGACCTGGCAGCTTAAACTCACACCGGGCGTGTGTGCGTGCATGCCCAAGATCCCAAGAAGAGCATGGAGGAGAAGGGATTGCGGCGTGGCCATCCCCCCTGGGGGGGGTAATTTCTTGCTTTTTATTTCTCTGTCTCTTTCTCTTTCTGGTGAGTGCACACGCCCTATAGTGAAAACCTCTCCAAAAAAAAAAAATGCATGAGTTTCTTTTATTTCTTTTATTTATTTATTTTGCACCCAAATGAACTCATAAAATCTTCCCCATAGAGAGTACTGAAGAGATCTAAAATGCACTTGGCTCAGGGCACCTTGTATTCGATCCACATTGGACTCGTGTGGCCCAAAGAGACCGTCATTGTTCTTGTCACGTAACACTGGGACTCTGCGTCTCAGCCGGTGTTCGTTGACTGCATGCTGTAAACCGAATGCTAGAGATCGGTCACGGGGCATCCTCTCCATCGCTCCTTCTTTGGCCAAACTCTATATTATGTCAGCCACCACCAACATAAAGCACTAAAATGTAAGAGCATTCCTAAATCTCAGAAAGCCACAGTGCCTGCAGCTCTTGGGGTGAAGTGTCTCCATCGAGAATTGTTAGTTACTCTTGGACAAAGCCTGAGGAGGGGCATTCTTTAACCGTCCAAATGTAAGCTCAGGTATCTTTTCTTCTTTCTTCCTTCCCTCCTCCTCCTCTTTCTCCTTTCTTCCTTTTTGACATTTGCACCCCAAGGAAGGGACATGATCTAGGGTGAGAACAACATGGAGACCTTCTTTAATCATAGCCCCTCTGTGTAGGTATTTCACTAAGTCCAAGAAATCAAGGTGGGGACATCACTCATCAGGTTCCTAGGGCCATGCTGGAACCCACAGATACGCATGAGCATGGAGCCCATCCTGACACGTGTGTTGGGATGCACACTATTTCACATGGATGTCCTAGTGGGGCATTTTGTCTAGGTCCAGGGCTGATGGTGTGACTCTGTCATTTGTCTTCAGAATCTGTGTGGGACATTCTCTCGAGTCCCCTTCCCTGGGTGTGTTTTCCTCCATGAATGGTGGCCTTGCACCGGGCAGAGCGAATCCTGTATCCAGATTTGCAGCCTCGTTTTCCCTGGTTACCAGTTGGATGCGCGTGTGATTGGCTTTTCTGGGGTGTTTAGGATGTCTCCTCGCAATCAGAGGCTTCTCTCGGGCCGCGGTCACACACCCCTTCTCTGGAAGCTGAGACTGCAGAGATGGCAGGCCATCAGTTTCTGGCTCACTCGGATTGGCTGCCCTTGTAAAAACTTTCTGAATTTTTCAGAAGAGGAAGGGTGCGTATACTCTGGCTCACGGCTCCTCTGTGTGTCAGCCGACTAGTACCGCCTGAAGCAGCATGGGTCTGGGTGATGGGCTTTTATTCAAGTATGATCTTCCCCTCATCTCTGTTTCCTCCTTCTCCAGGAGAAATGGGCCCCACGAGACAAGTGTGACCTGTGCGTCCAGCCTGCCAGCCTGCTGCCCGCGAGGAGGGAGGGTGCCATGGATGGCGTCATCGAGCAGAAGGGCGTGCTGGTAAGCAGTAAAATCGGTGACGCTGGCAGGAAGAATGGCCTAATTAACACCAGAAACTTCATGGCCGAGAGCAGGGATGGCCTGGTGTCGGTGTACCCAGCGCCCCAGTACCAGAGCCGCCGGGTGGTGGCCAGTGCAGCACCGGCCGTCCCGGACAGCGGCAGAAATGAGCCAGTGCAGCAACTGCTGGACCCCAACACCCTGCAGCAGTCGATGGAGTCCCACTACCGCCCCAATATCATCCTCTACTCGGAGGGCGTGCTGCGCTCCTGGGGGGACAGCGTGGCTGCCGACTGCTGCGAGACCACCTTCATCGAGGACCGCTCACCCACCAAAGACAGCCTGGAGTACCCCGACGGGAAATTCATCGACCTCTCGGCAGATGACATCAAAATTCACACTCTGTCCTACGACGTGGAGGAGGAGGAGGAATTCCAGGAGCTGGAGGTCAGAGCATGTGCTTGTCAGCGCCTTCCAAGAGTGGGGACAGGGGGACCCAGGGGAAATGAGTGTGCAAAAATGCAGCAAAACCAAGGACATCCTTGGTGCCCCTTCCCTCTTGGATATGCGTGGAAGGTGGAAGGCGTGGAGGCAGGTAGGGCGGGCAGGCTTGGTGGGGCTCTGGCAGTGGCTTCTGGCTGGAGGCAAGTCAAAGGGCTGGCTGCTGGGATGGTGCTACAGGCCAGCCTTGGCGGGTTAGTAGGGACGCCTGCTCTGACACCCATGAGAGGGAGAGGTTATTGGCGGTGAGAGGGATGCGTGGTCCTAGAGCCATGCAGTGCTGGAATGCGAGTGTGAGGACGTGGGGAGCAGTTGTGCAGTCACGTGTGGGTTCCTTCACATGGCATTCTGAAGTTCTACTAAGGGATGGTTAGGGCTAGTGTGAGAGTCAGTGCTGTAAGCGTGTTGCCCACAAGGTTGTGCCAAGCTCCAGAAGTCACTCCACAGTCATGGGGTACAGGGTGGAGGGTGCTCTCACAGACAGCATGGGGTTACGTGGGGGAAGCGGGAACTGCAGGTTGTGGGTCTTGACGTCTGCCATTATCCATGGAGAGCCACACGGGGATTCAGGTCTGTGTTCCGGGAGCTGCCGTGGCCCCGGAGTGAGGCGAGGATACAGAGAAATGGAGCGAGAGGAGAGGGGTGGGGGACCTGGGGCTAGGGCCACATCGAATGCACAGAGCCCCGTGGGGCCTGCTCTGAAGGATGGTTGGAGAGCCCAGACAGTGTCAGAGATGGTGAAGGAGGACCTGAAAGGCGAAATGTGTCACTGACCCGTGAAGAGAGAAGGGTGACAAGGAAGGAGTCAGGGCTCACTCTGGCAGAGAGCGCCTCGTGTCCACGGGGGCCAAACTGGCCTGCAGAGGATTTTCTGCTGTGTCATAAGTTTCTGGGAAATCAGCTCCAGTCTTACTAATTTATTTCATTTTTAATTTTAAATTTTTTGCTGGGAGGCATACGCACTCACTGAAGAGAGACAGAGAGGGAAAGACAGAAAGAGACAGCGAGGAGGAGAAAGTGAGATAGCATCCCCCACGGTGAATGGTCACACAATCCTGTCTCCAGCTCTCCCTCAGGATTTTGGGCGCATTCACACACACCCACTCGGTGTGTCTCTCAAGCCACTGGGTCGAGGCTCTAATTGTGCAGTCGGCCATGTGGGACCCAGCCGCCTCAATTACCACCCCACCAGCTGGGCCAGCTCCAATCTGTAATATGCCTGAGCAACAGAAGGCTTGGGATGGTTACTAGATGGAAATGTCAGAGATCTCTGAATGTCTCCTCTGTCCCTTTCTCCCTGCCTGGGCTTTAGCCTCCCCTCCCCTCGCTAAGGCCAACAGTTCCTTGAGTAACTACAGCACGCCAAGGTCAGTGGGGAATGAAGAGGTGGCCGGTGTGTCTCCTTAGTCTCCAGCCTACTCCCTCCTATAGCGTCACCAAGCCCTGGTGTCAAGGATTCTGATCCTCTTTCTTTAAGCTCGTATGGGCTTCTGACTGAGCTTACTGATAATAAACAATCAGATTTAAATGCAAAGTTGTTTTTTAATTTGTACTATATCTGGATCTACATTCTTAACAAACAATTACTGAATCTGTTTTATTGCAACCATATTTTCACATGATGACTTCGGCCAGTTGATGTGGGTTTTCAAACTTCACGAAGGTCTGAAATCCACTCAGAGACCATTGTGGATGGTAAAAGTTAGGAGATATGTCGGAGACAGGGCTGCAGGCCTTTCTTTTTTTTTTTTTTTGGAAAGGTTTTTGCTGTAGGGCGCATGCGCTCACCAGAAAGACAGAGAGAGAGAGAGAGACAGAAAGCAAGAAATCACCCCGCAGGGGGGATGGCCACGCCGCAATCCCTTCTCCTCCATTCCCCTCTCAGGATCTTAGGCACACACGCACGCATCTGGCGTGAGTTTTAAGCCACCGGGTCTGGGACTCGAACCGCTGTCGACTACATGGGAATCCAGCGACAGCCATTACGCTAACTGCTGGTCCCGGCTGCAGGCCTTTCTGTCCCGGCAGGTCAGGCTTTGACAAGTGGTACAGACAGGTACAGTAAATAAAGTAAGAGTTTACTTGGGCCAAGGCGGAGGCCGGCTGCCCGGGTCCCACGATATCCCAGTTGCCCCGAATGATGTGTGCTGAGGCCTTGAAGATTTCGGGATGATTTTAGAGGCACGAGTCATGAATGGGAGCAGGCAATCACAGCTTCTATTCCAGCAGTGATAGCTAAAGTCCCTTATAAAAGAACACGGTGGCCTCGGCTTGACCTTGCGCTAAGAGCAGAGACATTGAGTCTGGGACATCGCTGTGCCTGTGATGGGAGTGAAGGAGGGATGTCTTCAGGCAATCAGAATGTTCATAGAATACCCATGCTGTCTTGGTAGCATCTTGAGCTAGTTCAGCTGCTGTACCTGGCAGCATGGCCCCAAGAGGGAGCACGCCTCGCACACGCATTCCAAGGCCATCCACCTTCTGTGTGCCTCGGTGTCCCTCGTGGCCTCTTGGCCCCATTTTGAGCAGAAAGGTTCCTTACCTATCTTTCTCACGTCACACTCTGTCCTGGCGTCAGTAGAGGTGGCCCACCAGAAGGAGGTCTACTAATACGACAGGAATCTGTAGTCATAGTAATGGCACCCACCCGCTAATTCTGTTGTAGTGATTGCTGGCTTGGAACAACACTTCCCAGTAACACTGATGCAGCGGCAAGTCATTTAAAAACGGGGCTGCCTCTTGGGTAGTAGAGAGACTTTCTGGCTGACATCCAAGGAGCTCTCCCAGACCAAGAGCGACTCCTCCTGTGGGCCCTGAGGGGAAGAAACCAAGGCACGCCCTGACTGCTGCTGCCTGCCCAGTGCTGTCGGGGATACTGATGAGGGCTGTGAAGTGTCACCCAGTGTGGTTCATTTGTTCTTTTAGGCATTTTCGAATACAAAGATATTTTCTCAGACATATTCTTAAGCATAGGTATGGCGCTTTTTATTCCATTTTACTGCAAATAAAGACAAACCAATGACTGATCAGCAGTGCCATCCCATAGGTAGTAAGCGTTTCAGGTTTACTCCCTGTTCTACTCCATGAACTAGTAAGGGGCATCTATCAGTCAGCACTGCCACATGACAGATCACCCCAAAACTTAGTGGCTTAAAACGCAATGACCTGTGCAAACTCATGGTTCTGCAGGCCAGCAATTCGGGCTCTGGGGTGATGGTCCTGCTGGCTCAGCTGGGCTCACTCGTGCCGGTAGCAGCTGGCAGACAGGTAGGCAGTGTGCTTGAGGACGTTGGCCTGTCGGCTGCAGCGGCTGACGTGGCTCATCACCTGGCAGGCTAGACCAGGCTTCATCATGTGGAGCCAGGAAGGGATCTCCGGGGAGGGCGGGTCCCAAACAAAAGGGCTTTGCAATTCTTTGCCTTTGTCACACATGTTAGTGTCATTGTCACAGTGGCCAAGCCTAGAGTTGGGATAGGGGGAATACTTCGGATCCCAACCTAGGGAATGACAAATTGGGTGTCCATACTGCAGCCCCAGAGCCCAGGACTTCCTCCCCGGATGTAACCACTGCTGCAAAAAAATGGAGACTGTTAGGCAGAATTGTTTGTAAGATCGCCTGTTGGGTTGTCAGCAAGGTCATGATGTATTTTTCCCTGTTTTTCTATGCAAGGATGTGCCGTGACTTTTCAACAACAGTAATTAAACGGATCGACAACAGCTATGCTTATATTGTGACCAAATCAAGAAAAACAGTAGATATTTGTCTGGAGCTCTTTTCAGAAAGAAATTCTACTTCATGAAAATGAAAAATAAATGTGTGTTTTAATTTCTTCGGGAATAGCTCCACTTGATCTATAACAAACTGACACTGGTTCCTGAAAAGCGCAGTTTTCAGTAAGCCATTGCCCTGGTTAGGAGCGGTGACCCTGGGCCAGCTCAGTGGAACTGTGGTAACACACTGCTCAAGCAATGGTGGTCCATGTGGAAGATCGTAGCTTCGATTCCCCAGTTGACCTGTACACACCATGCATGCATTCCCATGATCCTGGCTGGCTGGGAGGGTGAAGGAGGGAGGATTGCAGCTTGAGATTCTGAGGGTGAGGGTGTCTCTCTCTCTCTGTCTTCTATACTCATCAAAGAAATAAATAAGCTTTAAAAAAAAAAGGGGGGGGGAGGAGATGGGCCCTTACACGGGCTGGTCTGGCCCTCACCTGGCCTCCACCTGCTCTCTGAGCCTCTGCAGGAGAGGTTCATCCCTGCATTTATAAGGGAGACTCCCCTCCAGAGAAGTTTGCTCATCTGACACGTTTTTGCAAGAGTATATGGAGTTTTCAGTTTGCCTTCGCGGCTATGGTGATAACACGGCAGGTTCTGCCGCTGATTCCGAGACTATCTGTGGAAGGGCCACCACTCCTCTGCAGGTGTCTGAGCTCTATCCTGCTCTGCCGTAAGAGCTGTAAAGCTGGTAACCGAGCAGGGCGGGCTGTGGCCCTGTGGTAGCAGCGGGGCAGATGAGGGGGGCTTGACAGGGTTTGCAGGACACTGTTGCACCCAGCATAATCAGGCAGGCATCCCCTTGGGACAAGGAGGTTGCCCTGGGGACACTCTGGGTGGCAATAATGGGCCTATTGCTCCAGAGCCCAGAGCCTCCTCCCAGATGTGACCACTGCTGCATCCAGTTCCCAGCCAGTAGCTGCAAACTGCAGCTTCCAGAAGCACCCACAGCAGGAGACTCCTTCTCTCTTCACACAGTGAACTCAGACAGAGCGACGTTGGGGACAAATGATAAGGCAGGTTCAGAAAGTCTGCAATTTGAATTCTGAGCTCTGAGATGAAGTGCTGGAGAGGACCAGCAATCCTCCTGCCATCAGAGATGCTGGCCAGTGCTGAAAGGTGCATTGTTGGCACTGCTGGTGACAGTGCAAACCCTGTCAGGCCCTGGAGCA